CAAAAACACAAACACAAACACACAAACACACAGACACACACACACACACAAACACACACACACACACAACAAACACAAACACAAACACAAACACAAACACAACACACAACACACAAACACAAACACAAACACAAACACAAACACAAACACAAACACAAACAAACACAACACAAACACAAACACAAACACAAAACACAACACAAACACACACACACACACACACACACACACACACACACACACACACACACACACACACACACACACACACACACACACGCACACAACACACACACACACACGCACACAACACACACACACACAACACACACACACACAACACACAAACACACAAACACACAACACACAGACACACAGACACACAGACACACAGACACACAGACACACAGACACACAGACACACACACACACACACACACACTTTGCCTGTCTGCTGCGCCATGTAGCTTCGCCGTGCCGAAAATTGCCTCATGCAAGGGGGGTGGCAGCTAGCTGTACAAGGTGGTCAAGACTTGTGCTGCGACGGCCAGCACAAAGAGGCACTTCCCGGCATTGCCGTAGCTCAAAGTGGGGTTCTCCGCGACCATTCGCACCGCACCACGCATGGCGAGGAGCAAAAGGATGGTGACGTAGATCTTCAAGCCCAGTGGCAGGTCCTCAGTCCCGCGCCATGCGGCGAGCCAAGACATATCAGACTGAACTGCCCGGGTGGCTACACGATGCGCTCGGAAGATCGAGCATGTCAAGATGGCAAATTGAACGCTGGATGTTTAGAGCCAAACCCAGACGAGAGAAGACACTCGAGGCAGGCCGTCAGCTTTCCTTGAAGCAGCGTAAATGATGATGGATGTCTAAGCGTTGCACCAAGGCTTGCTGACAAAACGCATCCTCGTAAATTCAGCAAAGACTTCGGGCCCAGAGAAAAAATGTTTGAGCAAATGCCAACAAGTAGAATCTGTCCAATTGCAGATCAAAGTTGCTTGGCGGGAATGACATTCTCAAGTGGTTGCAGCGTTGCACATGTCAAAAAGAATGCGTGTGGCGCCAGGCCTGGCCTGTCACACTCTTCCCCCCGTCAAGTGCGCCTCATGAATCAAATGAAAGCTGAGAGAATTGGAAGATCATGAGCAATACAAGAGCAGCACAAAGCTTGAAACGGGGTAGCGCATCCCGGGGCGATATACAAAAGCTGGAAAACCACACATAGAAGCAACCTCACTTTCCGCACTGGTCCCTCTTATCCAAGAAGCTTTGTAGCAAGCCAGGGATGGGCAGCAGGCCCCTCGGGTGTTGTAAGACACACAGTCCGGCGGCTCTGCTGGAGGTGCCACCTAGCGCCAGCTGGGCAGGGTGCCTACCTAGAATCTCAAGCGGAGGGCTTTCACACTTTGAACTGGCAACTGGGTTGCTTGCTCTTGCCCAGGCAAGGGGTCTGGTGCCCGGGGGTGGGTTGGACCCCCCCCCCCATTTTCCGGGGAGTCCAACCTCATTTTTCATTAGAAAACCGCGGGCCGACCCCATCTTCATAAAACATGCTCAATTTAGAAAATGGGGGGGAGGGGGGCAACCTGGGTCCGATGTGGCACTGGGCCGACCCCCAATAAAAGAAAATGGGGGGGCCCAACCTCTCCGTGAAAAAACGAAAACGGCAGCCTCGTGAAAAAAAGGAACATGGGCGCGGATTTATTTCGTTGTTGTTTTCCTGTTGTTTAGTTCTATCTTTTTTTATTCTTCTTTTTCCCGTTTCTTTTTTTTTTAGGGGGGGGGGGGGGGGGATTTTTAAAATGTTGTAGTTTACAGCATTATCTCGCGAAATTAACGTATTTTACACAAGCCCGTCAACATCCCCAGCATCGTTTTCAACATCCCCCAACATGCCCAGCATCACCAACAAATCGTGGGTAAAAAGACTAAAAAGTAGCTGGCGGGTTGACGCGGTATGATTCAAACAGGGGTGCAATTACATCTCTGTAGAAAATCTAAAACGCAGCGGGGGGGGGTTGGGGGGGGGGGGGGGGGGCGGCAGGCCCCTATGATGTTCGAAGAAGTGATGATTCAAACCCATGATGTCCGTAAAAGTGATGATTCAATTAGGGGTCAATCAATCCAGACTGAGAAATTTCTGATTTTAGAAAATGCGGGGGGGGGGGGGGGCAACCTAGGACCTTCCTGACCAGACCCATTTTCTTTTACTCCACAAATTAGAAAATGGCGGAGGTGCCAACCCCACCATGGAAGGTGACATCCCCAAAATAGGCTCAACCCCCCCATTCTCTAAATTCATGTCGAACCCGGATGCAAAGCCCTGAAAGGGATCTGTGATCTGTATGCTTGTCTGAGCTCGAGGGAAATCCATCCCTTGTGGCCCGTCTCGGGCTGAAGCAAACCCGCATCGGGTTCCCATCCCATAGCAGTGTTTTGCCTTGACGTAGGAATCAAAGACACCAATCGCCAGCGACATGGCAACCTTGGCTGCGCAGCTTCAGGGCTTCATGCCGAAAGCCAATGCTTTCCTGGCATGTCATCCCTCCTGCAGGCCTGACGCTGTTGCATTGCCAGCAAGCAAATGGTAAATAGAAAGGTGGGAAGCACATGGTGCGCAACCAAGTAAAGCAAAGCAAGCAGAGCAAAGCGAAGCGAAGCAAAGCTTGCAAGTGCGCAGAGTTTTCATTGCGTTCAACTAGCGCTCCTGTCGCACTTTTAGCAAAAGATATGTTGTTGCGCGTGTGTCCCTTCCTTGACAATTGTTTGTTGCCCTTAAGGCCGGCGCGTCGGCTCTGCTGGGTTGAAGGCAATCCTGCTTCATCCGCTTGTGGGGCCGTTTGCCCAAATCTTCAAGATCATGCAGCACATTATGGAGAATGGATGTGGGCCTTGCCGCGTCTGCACCTTTCGTCGCTCCAGCTAGGGCTTGCCACAAGAGGGCCGCATGCCGAAGCTGCAGCGGTCAACTACGGTCTCACACTTATGCATTGGCATTGCCTCGGGTTCCTGACAAATGCTGGGATCGCATGTTGTCCCAAATGTGACCAAACCGCGTGCAGTAAAAACATACCCAGCCAGCCGAGCTGCAGTGATGTCCAAGTCCCGCTGCACATCTTCAGCAGTCACCTTCTCGCCCGTCCAAAGCTTGCCTGCACCAATGCCCAAACTGGAACCCATCCGAAGCAGAGTGGTCCAAAGGAGATCGGAACACGTATAATCGTATTTGCTCGATAGATTTTGCATAGGGTTGGCTGTGGTGATGTGCGTGTGCTTGTGCAGTGCAGGCCGTCCCAACAACTCACGAGAACCGCATACCTTGAGTTGATGTACCTCGGGCTTGTGAGCAAGCGCTTTGAATTTGCCCCTTCCCTCTCTTTCCCCCGTTCCCCTCGCCTGCATTTACCTAATGATTCTTGTATCTTCTCCCTATCTATGAGATCCTGGAAGCATTCCCTCGAAAAAGGTCGTTGAAAAGTCCATGGCTCGGCTGACCATCAGCACTTTGGACAGGTGGCTGTAAGTCGCGTTGAAGCCTTCCCAGCTCTCCTGTGAGGGTATGGACACTTCCGCCTCTTTTTGGACGGGCGGCAAATGGCACCATGGAACCACTTGGCATGGTCGCTGGCCGACCGGCTGACGGGTCCGGAATGTGTACAGTTCAATGGTGCTTTACGCCTTCCCCAAAGCTATGAGAGGGGCATCCTGATGGGGCCCCAGGATCTGGCAGCAAGGAAGGCCTACCAATCTGATACATTCGTTGTTAAAAATCTTGGCTCGTGCTGAAGCCTTGGCGCCCCCTCGACAAAGCATGCTTTGCAGGAAGTCCATTCCACCCACGACCCCTTCCCGCCATGTGCTCCTGGAGCCATCCTATGCCACCGGCACCTCCACTCTCCTCCCGGTCACCATCACGGGCGCGACGCTGCACTCGGAATCGGGGAGGGATGAAAGCCTGGCGCGCTCATGATTTGCGTGGTGAAGAGCCGCACGCTGGGATGGAATGGATGGGGGCACGTTCCGAAGTGTCCCAGTGCGCAGCGTTGCCTCTCAAAATGCACAGCTTGCAGTTGCCCACTCACGGTGTCAAGGTATGCTCGTGTGCGCTCGGACAAGCGATGCACTTGTAGAGTCTGTGCATCCAAGTGCTGGCTTGGGAGAACAAATGAGCGCACGCGCACACACACACACACAAACATACACAACTACGTGTGGAAAAGTTCGTGCCCTCCGCCTTACAGTGACTTTGCCATGATGCTTTGCTCTCTGCGCCTGACCCAGGGCGGTCAGAAGCAGCAAGCGCCAAGCCCGCTGCATCAGCTCAAGCCCATGGCAATTTGACCGGGAGACAAGCTGAGGGAACACGGTTGCACAGCACATTTGAAGTTGGTTGTGCAGAAGTGTAAGCTGCTGTAAGCTGTTCAAAACCCTTGCTGAAGCTAGAAGGGTTCATTGCAAGGATAGAATCACAGTTCTTTGATGTTGCTACTTTGGTGATCTCAAGTCTTCAATGGGCCTCTAAGAAGCCTGCCAAAGCCTAGACGGCTCAATGCATCCAACTTAGGCTCGGATCTGTTGACTCCAGCTTGGTTGGCTGCAATTCTGTTCTACAAGCAGGTCGAAGAAGATCAAGCGGCAAGCTTCGACTCACAGTGAACTCTGGGAATCAAATGGTCCTTCCGTCTATGAGTGCGCTTGACAACTGGGCAACTCCTCAAACATGATCATGAACCAGGGCCAAGTGCAATCATGAACAGACTGCTGTAGAAGAAGGTGTCCCGTGCCTAGGGGTGCTATTTCTGGTCACTCCCTGTTTGGCGGGAAGTCTATACCATGCCGAGTCCTATAGTCTTGAAAGCTGCCCCCGGTCCAAAGTCCCAGTGTCATGTGTACCCCACTCCCCAGTCCGGCTTCGTGTTGTGCGAGTGGGCCATTGCCACACTCGTACACATGAACAGGTAGTCTGGAACCACCCACTTCCCAGCGGAGGGGTGAACCTTTCGGTAGGCTTCCTCCATCTCAGCCTCAGAGGCAGAGGCTGGAAGGCTGCAAAGAAGCACTCACTCAAGACATCAAGGCTTCCCAGCATCCGTCCTTCTTAGTGAAGGCTTGGTATGTGGCAAAGCTACGGAAACAGGGAAAGAGGCCTTGACACAGTGGCAAAGGCAGCACTTCAGGTACGGAGCTTTTTACTCAGTCGCAAGGAGAAATGGCTACGTGCATCCAGCAGCAAAGGTAGGTAATACCTACAGTCACCCACTGCCAAAACATCGCATATATCAAGCCGCAACACGTGTTTCTACAGTTGTTGTCTTCATTGTCTTGCTGGCATGGAGCTTGAGCGGTCTGCGGGAGCTGTGAATTGGGGAAGCACGCGAAAAGGGGAAGCAGGCTGCAGTTTGGAGTTCAGACCAGCCCCAGATCAATTCAGGAATCTTCCAATGCTTAGTTTCCAACCATCAGCCCATCCATGGGCGAAAAAGGGAACTGAGGCCCATCCACCCCCCCCCCAACCAAAAAAAAAAGGAAGAAGAACAACTCCAAGTGATTCCCTACAATCAAATCAAATCCTGGGGCAACACCCCGAGCCATGCGGTTTCCGCTGGGATGCCCCGGCCAGAGCCTGGCTCTTCTCCAGCAACCGCCGCTCGTAGCTGGCCTCAAAGGCGCGTTTAGGTTTCGGGGGAGCGTTGGAGCGAAAACCGCCTGAAACCCGTGGGGGGGTCCGATTCTTGGAAAATTGGTCTGTCACGTTTGGGAGGGGGTGTGCTGACTCTTGGTGAAATGGGTCTGTCTTTTTTGGGAGTTAGTACACGCATTGTTTGCATGTCTTGTTGAGGGGAAACAAACGGGAAAGAGGACAACCACCAGTTTGGGAGGGTCCATTGAAAAGACACACACCCCACGAGTTTTTGGAGCTTCGAACCCAATGCTGCGCCTAAGGCGCAGCGGCCCAGCGGCCCCGTCGGCGTGTCCCGCTTTTCTTGAGAAGCAACTTGGATCACAACAGCCCTGGGCCCACCAGCAGCAAACAGGACCACTGAAGATACAATGCAAATCTATCCTGATCAACTTCTCTTGTCCATGGCCCGGATCGCATGACATCCCTGCTTGAAAGGGCCTGAGAATGCGTTCCGCACATTCGTCGCGGAATGCACTCACCAATGCGGGAACCATCCACACTGCCCAAAAAAAGCAGGCGTGTGACGAGAATTGGTGCGTCACATGGCCAGCAAGGCTCATAGGCTTGACCCCCGGCAGTGTCATCAGTCATTGATGGAGCTCGCAAATGCAGCTCTATATGCCAAACCTTGCGTGGCCTCACGGCCCTGTCTGTGTCAAGTGCTTGTGACTTGGGCACCGCATGAAGAGCTGCATTCCAATCAGTCAGGATGCTGAACGCTTCGCACCTGATTGAAATTCGGATCTAACTAGCTGCCTTTGGCGTTCTTGGGCAGCAACACGCTCGTCACAAACGTCGGCTTCTTTGTTAGCATGTTCCAGCCGCTCTCACGCATCTGCAGCACCAGGTTCAACAGCGGTGCATTGCTGAGAGCCCGGATCCGGGAGTTGTTTTAGACGCTTGGCGAAGCCGTGGTGCCAACGGCTAGCCCAAGCTGCGAGGCAGTGAAACTTGGCAAGTGTGGGGTCCATTCGATGGCAACATCACCGAAGGCCGTGTTCAAACAAGGCAGGCTCTTGCATGCCCATGCCTGAATCAAATGCACCTCTGTTGGGCCAACCCCTGCAACCGCTGGCTTTTGCGCCTTGGTCTCGCCAATGAGGTGATCCGCATCAATCTGCGCCTGCAAGCAAACGGCTAATGCTGCTCGACTGTTGGGGGCCGCATTCCTCGCAACAGCTTTGCCAAGAGGCCACTTGGTAAGAAACCCAAACGCATCAACACCTAGTGGTCGAGATCAAAGGGACAAACACGTCGGCCTGAAGAACAGACTTCAGCATTGCAGCGCCGCAACGGGGCAGGGATGCCTGAGTCATCTCGCTCTTGAGGCCTTCCTTCTCCGCTGCAAGCCTGGCTGCCCCGTTTGGGACTGAGTCTTTTGGAAGTGAGCGGCAAAGGAACCATATGATCAGGAGGCAAGCAGATTGGCTAGATCATAGATCAGATGCTAATGTCTGACATGCAAGGGGGATGTATGCGTGCTAATCCGTGTGTTGCGCGTTGGGGCATGAGCGACCCGTTGAGACATGTATAACTAATATATATATATATAGGTATGCATGTGTATATATACATATATAACATGAATATATATATATATATATATGACTCACGGGCAAGGTGGTTTCCCGCACTTTGTTTTTCCCCATAAGGTTGCTGTAGCTCTGACGAATTCGTTGTTCATCCTAGCATTCGATTAGCCCACATCGCCCACATGCACCTGCCCTGCTTTTTCCCTTCCTGCCTCTGGGCCTGGTCTTGTGCCTGTGCCAAATCCTCTGGCAGATGGCGTGAGGTATGGCGCCAAGGAAGCTTCAAGGTTGCTCACCAACTTGCTAGGTCAAACGATGACACCTGTCTAAATAAGATCCCTGACCTTGGCAGCTTTCTACGGGCGCACTGCTCTGATTGCGCAACGCACTCTGAGACTGAAAGTGCGAAGCCGACAATTTTGCAGACAGGACAAAAAAACAAAAACAAATGATGCTGGAGCTTTCAGTCAGCAGGTGACATTGGTTTGGAACTTCTCGACTAGTCCCCTTAGCCTCTGCGAGCCTCTTCTCCATCAGTACCTTCTCGAATGATATCTACCCCTGCGAAAGGGAAAAGGAACAGCGATACTGTGGATGGACGAAATCCGCCACTTTGACACCATGGCACAGGAAAACCCATCAGAAACCAGGGCTTCTTAGGTGCGAAATGGATTTTGTCCGTCCGCATCTGCCGAGTCCTGCTGCAACTGGTCACTCTTCCCCTGCAGGTCTTCAGCCTGGCGAGGCGGAAATTTTGAGTCAGAAACCTCTAGGGCTGCAAACCTGAGACCGGCATCTGCCGCTGGCTTCCGATTTGTCGTCTGACACTGGCAATTTCAATGAGCTCAACAGGAAACCACAAGGAATCATCTGTTGCAAGCAGGAATCAACGACCTCACCAACCCTGGCGATCCACCTTTTTCCCGTCTGCCCGTCAAGATCGGGCCAAGAGACAAGCATCGCATGCGGCGAGAGCCAGCGCTCTACCCCAGCTAAGCAGCTAAGAGGCAAGCGACAGGAAGTCGGCGGCTCGAAACCGTGGAAAGCGTAGCTGCATGAGCAGTGGCCCGAATCTCTCAGTTGCCCCATGGCATGGTTGGCAGCTTAGTCTCGTGGAAAACCATCAACCACCAAAAAGTGCCACTGAAAATCCTGGCTCTTGGAGTCAGCCCAAACGGCTCAAGTTCAATTCCACGATGAGTCCCAACGGCATTCCAGGCCCTGTTGCCATCATCTCCTGACAAAAGACCAACCCTCTTGTCCTACCAGATGAGTTGCACAAAAGTTTGATGCTTCAGCGCCTCGCCTTGAATCTGCCTTCGGCAGCCACCGCGTCATGAGCTCGCACATCGTCGGCACACAGCTGAAACGTGGCAAGGATTTGCAAAGCGATTGGCGATCCAGCATATTGCAAAGGCTGGGTCAAAATTGGCAGCCGGGATCAGGGACTTTGGCGCTTAGTATCCAGCATCCCTGAACGAAACCAGCCGACATACATAAGGAGCATCATTCCATCACCAGTTGCCATCAAGCCCGTCCCGAATCCCGGAAAGCAAGAAGCAGGAGCTACGCAGCGGGCTGCTAGTCGCAGCACTATCCGGAGATACCTCAGCTGCTGTCAAACGATGGCTGTCAGCTTCAAGCTGATCTTGCCATAGGCTCCTTTTGTTGCCCAGCCGGTGGCCATCAGGAAAACATGAGCCTTCCCCTGTGTGAATTCCAGGGCGCGGGATCAACACACCCAGCGAGCATAAGGTCTACATGTATGTGTCCCCCATGGAAACATATATGCACACAATGCATGTGCATATGCAAGCAGCTGCACATGCATGTGAGGGAAAAACATGGGAAAAGCAATCATGGTGCGTGCCATCTTCAGCCGTGCCAGGGAATACTCAGCGAAAGCCGTTTACAGCACAAGGATTCTCAACGTTTTTTTGTTTTACCCATGGACGAATCAACGGCATGACTCATCTCAGTCACACTGCTCTTAACCAGCATCCCAGGTGGTTGCATCCGCACACCCACACATGTATGTGTTTCCCAGCGACTCCTAGTAACCTGTATAGCTAGTAACTGGCCGTTGGCGACTGTTTTTTGGGGAACCAGGCTTGGTTCCCAAAAAAGTGGCAACCAGATTCCTGTCTAACGGTTTAACGGTTCCGGGCCTTTTTTTCACGGTTCCGGGCCCCCATTTCACGGTTCCGGGCCCTTTTTTATGGTTCCTGAAACCAGCGGTCAGTTACCAATATGGCAGGTAACCAAGCTGGTTCCGCACATGGAGGGAACTGGAAGCACTGGGAATGTTTGAGCACCCGCCTTGCTGGCCGAGTCTTCAGAATTCAACCTTTCCCAAACCAAGACTTCCGCTTGACTAACGGAACAGGCTGTCGCAAATATCAATCCTTTCTTCCCAAGGCATTCCCCACGCACTCAACACCCCAAACACTGTCTTATGTCTGAAAACTTGCTAATACATGGGCCAGAACGAGAATGACTATGTCAGAATGTCCAAATTGGAGATCTTCTGGACTTGGGTCTGTTCACCACATCTTGCGCCACCATTGCTGCCAAGCAGCTGGCAGTTGTGTAGGAAATCCGTTTAGTTTTTGTGTAGGACACCTAGACTGTGTCAAAGGCTTTGCGAACACGCTCGAATCTGCCATCCCAAACATCCACTCTTTTTTCATGTCACACTTGCACGCATCTCTATAGTCTATACTTTTGTGTCTGTGCTTTGAGGGTAAATCTTGATTGGCTTGTTTTCTTTACGGGGCAACCAACAGGTTGCCCCCCATTTTGAGGCTCCCCTATTTCTAGCTTTCCTCTGCCAAGCGGCTCACCCATCAGGCCAAGGCCTGGCCTGGAATGAAACGAGGAAAACCGAAAAATAAACCGAAGCCGTGTCGCGGGCTCCGATTCCCAAAAAGAAAAACTCACCCAAATGGCCATGGGGCAAAATCCCGTACCCCCAGTGAACATCCCAATCCCCACTGAAATAGACTAAAATGGATGGTGCACCTACCCCAAAATGGGATCCCATTGGTTTTGACCTACAGCCAAATGTGACTGGGCGATTCTGTGGAACCGGCAGCTGAACGAAAACTACCTTGTAAGGTCATGACGGCTACATGGATCGAAAGGTGACAAAATCTTGTATAAACTGCCAGCATTGCTGTCGGCACGAATGTGACTGTTCTTGCTGGGGCTGCAAGAGGAATTCCACACGCCTAGCCTCGATTCCCCGTGTGTTAAGGAGGCGGGTGCGCAGCTTGCCCGTGGATTTCCGATAAAATCGACGAGCTACGCAGCCAGGTTTAATCTCACAATGGTAAATCATGACATGTTCGACATCACGGTCCGCGCACGATTCATTGCCAGCACAAGAGCGGTAGAAGATTCCGCGTGTATGGATTTGCGATTAGGCCACAAAGGAGCACTGAAGTTTGTTGGGTGGCTCCCCATTCACCACAAGCTCACCTACCCAAAGGACCTGGAAGCAAAAGGTTAACCATTTGGAACCTTAGCTAAATATAAGCCAAATCAGGGAAACCAAAAGGTCAAAAGGTCGGCTTTGGGCAAGTGAGCGATATGCTGCCCAATGTGCCACCTCGGCGAGGATAGGCCACCGTCGACTAGTCACGCTGCGCTTATGTTTAGGCATGCCCTTCTATAAGAAGAATCGTTTGCAGTGCGTTGCACTGCTGGGAAAGCCCTTGCAGTGAATGGATGACCCCCATGCCCTTCCGCCACCCCTCCGAGTGGCGCAGTCTCGCGAGGAACTTGACGTCCTGCACGGCGTTTTTAGCGGTGCGCACCCTTCCCATGGGAGTGGTGCGCTGGGGGGCACATGAAAATGACGATTCCACTAGTCGTGCCTAGCCTGGTTGCATAACAAACCGAATGGCGAGGCACGTGTTTAGAAATGGTTGTGCGCATATTAGACATTGCTCCATAAAGTTGTGCTTTGCTTTGCAGAGAGCAAACTTCACCGTCCAGAGTCCTAGGGTTTCAGTCGTTTGACACGACCTTAAAAAGAGGTTCAAGAGCTAACACCATGCCGACACCTTGTCAACAGCGTGGCCCAGAAGACCTGAGCTGGTTAGTTTATCACTTAGACTTTTAAACATATGGGTGTGGCTCAAAATTAAAGAGATAGGGTTACGCAGGTGTTAGTCTTTCGTTCCATTTACCAGGGTTCCATTTTGGGTACGCATTTTGACCCACTGCCATATACAGTGTGCAGACGCTACTGCCCTCATGGGCTGACTGCGACTAGGCATACGTGAAGTGCTCGCCTCCGAACACAGCGCCCGCGCCTGCGCCTGGACCTTCCGCAGCACTGCCAGCCGGGCGATGCAAAACTCCTCGCGCGGCTGACCCCAAGCCGCGTTTTCGCGGCGGGGCTTTGGACGTGTCAAACTGGGGACATTCGGCGGATGGACAGTCCAGCATGTTTCAACAACCGGGTACGTTCTCGCCGCAACAAGCAAGCTGCCTCATGGGTTCGTATTCCCGCACACACACCCACCCACCCACCCACCCACCCACCCACCCACCCACCCACCCACCCACCCACCCACCCACCCACCCAACCACCCACCCACCCACCCACCCACCCACCACCCACCCACCCACACCCCACCCACCCACCCACCCACCCACCCACCCACCCACCCACCCACCCACCCACCCACCCATCCATCCATCCATCCATCCACTCACATACACACAAACACGCAATCACACTGACATACGCACACTCACATCCACATGCACAGGAGTTCTCAACGCCGGCCAAGCACTTGCCTCCTCTCGCAGCGCCGCGATGAGCTCTTCCCGGAGCTTGCCTGTGACAGACCCCTCCACTCGCTGGCCCTGGTGTCACAGGTTGCCTTTGACTTGCTGGTGCTCAGTAGGGAAGAGGGACTGAACCTGGAATCCACAAGGGACGGTTTATAATAGGGTCATTCCCTCGTTCCCTGCTGAGCACCAGCAAGTTGAAATGGCACCGGCTCCGAGTTTGCGTGTGGCGAACCTGTTGGCTGAAAGCGGGATTAAATCAGAGTGGGTGGCACCCCTCGTCATTACTTTTCAGCATACAACCTGCAGAGATCACGCTGAACATGCACCATCGGCTGCAAAAGCCAAAAAGGGCTTCCGCAACAAAGCCGAACACCACGCGCCAAAACCAAAACTACCATGCCCTTGCAGAACTGTTGGTTGCTCCTTAGCTCCCTTTTGGATACCCCCCCCAACCCCCCGCGTCCAGCTCCCTCTGGGGTCCAGCCTGTCTCTGGCGTCACCTTGTCCTCGAACTCCCGAAGCTTCGACGTCACTTCATTCACCTGCGGGGCGAGGAGCGCGCGAGGAGAAGGACCAAAAAAAAGGCCTCGGAGGCCTCCATTTGCTACAGTCCCCTGGAAAAAAGAAAGATATGTCCAGTAGTGATAGGTTCCCTTTACAACCAACAGGGGAAAATAACACAAATATCAACCAAATGGAAGGAGGATGGCGGTTGGGCACAAACAACACAAATTAATCTCCTCTAGTCTCGGCACCATGATGGCCGATGACTTTGCATGGCACAGCTTGCGCAGAAAGGGTTGAACGGTCCATGGCGCGGGCTAATTCTGAGAGCCATTGAACTCAAGTTCCGTGTCAGGTTTTTGGACCTCCTTTTGAATAGAAGGTAAACCGGGTCTCTAACACTGCATGTGGCCGATGCTGAGAGGGC